AGCTTGATTTAAATTCATTTTTCAAAAGTAAATATTATAGGAATCTAGGACTGTGAAAGATCACCGTCTTATGGAAATTATCAATGAAAAGAGCTATGAGGGAAATGAAGTGAGCACTTAGATATAGTTAGCCCAATTTAGATTGAGCTCACATGAATGGTGTGCGTTTATTTTTACAAGTTTTGGAGTTTCCACTACTTTCAGAGATTTCTTTCTGGAAAAGTCAGGTCTCTCTAGGCAGGCCAATTCAAAGTTTTGGTAAATTGGTGTTTGAGTCTCGTTTCCAGTTCTGCATTGTAATTTATGGTACACATTCATATGAGGTTGGTGCAGTTAGTGTAATGTTTTTTTTGGCCAAGAACTTTTTCTGAAAGTCAAACACAACCAGAAGAGCTCATCCGGAGTAGAATAATTAAGTTGCGTCTATCCTGTTCAGAAGGGACAACAGCAGACGACAATCTGTCAATGACATAACACAGGKACATACATGAAAGTCTTTATATTCCATCCTTGACAAAATGTCAATACTTGGAAAAAAAAGTGTGTGTGATGGGAGAATAGAGAWGCCTAATCAAACATGGTCCATAACAGAAGGATGATTTTACTTCCTGCACAGAGCAAACCTGGTACATAAATTTATGTGAGTAAACATGGCTCTATAGGACCAGAAATATGCCAGTGTTATCCTTTATCTCCCTTCTTAATGGGTTGTGTTACAGCCTAACATGTAATACTCTTCTGTCAGAGGCGAATCTTTGGCTTCTCAGGCGCTATGAACATTATGTGTCGGTCTGTCCAATTTGCTCCAGCGTGGAAACAGTGTGGTGCCTTTTATTGCCTTTATTACCAATGAGTAGCTTGAGCTCACTCAGCTTTCTTCCGTAGGTGCATGTTGTTGTATAGAGATACGGTGTAGGGAATTGTAAATAAATTCTTTCAAGAGTTTAGAGCTGYTTTGCTTAATTGCCTGGCGAGGCAGTTTGCTTCTAAGGCTTGGCCAGTTGACATTTAATACTGTCTCAGTTGGATCTCATTCTAGGAATGTGAGACAGGAGCTAGTAGTGGTGTCAGGCTTTGCTTAAAGCTGTTCAGCACTAAGCGAGTAGCTGTCACTGTGGGGCTCTCCCTTTCTGCACCCTCTCCACCCACCCCCGCCTTTCTTTTTTGTCTTTCTGAATGTCCAGTTTCACAAGATGCATCTTCTGATAAAATATCCTTTCTTAAAACACATCAAGCAAAGGAGTTTTTCTGCTTCAATCCAATTTCTTTTTTCTAGCCACAGCAAACAGCAATGCCTAAGATACTAACCAAGAGATGGGTGGTTAATCAAAAGAGTTATAGTGAGAGTTATACTGTACATGAAGCTGGATTTCATCTTACCACCATAATTGAAAAGGTAGCTGTCTAGTCTCAGCCAGTTATAAACAAGGGGAAGGACAAGGGGTCATTTGGCTTGCTCTGCTTGGACCCATGTGCCAGAATGGAAGGCTTTTCTGCTGAGTGTGTAGACTTAGACAAGCAAATTAATCTAAATTTCTGATTTCTAAAGGCCCTTGTTTGCAGAGGTGAGCACAACCAACATGCAGAGCTGTCAGGGTAAGAAAGGGAACAAACAAATACGTGTTCTGATTACCTTCTAGTAGGAGAACCAGTGTTATGTTCTTCCAGATGCATTTGGTGGGGACAGGAGGATATTTGGTGGGAAGGGGGAGGAGAACCTCAAACCCTCCAGACAGAACTTGCTCAAATCCAAACTGAAGAGAAAAAAAAAAAGGATTTACCGGAGTTAGGGCTAAACAGCAGAAATTTGGAAATAAATGCCTCTGATGGAATTGGCAGCTGTGAGAGTTGGATGTTTTCAGTGTTTGCTTGGGTACATCCCTGCAGTAAGACCCAGCCCCTCAGCAGATCCAAATGGGGAACAGATGATACGGAAGAAGAAGAGAGCCCAGACAAAACATTGCTGCCTTGGGCTCTTGGAATTAGGGAGAACGAACGTTCTGGGTTGTTATTTTTGCTCCAAACTGGCTGCCCCAACCTACTCCTGCATGTTTTGTTCTCTCTCCGCTGTGCCACAGCTTTCCATTAAGCTGTCATTTCTGCAGTTAACTCTGTTAAAAAACTCTGCTAGATACTGAACTTAGTTACATTGAGGCTCTTTAGACAATTCAGGAAACATTTTTTTTCCATTTGTCTAGCCATGAAAGCCACATTGTGCAAAGAGCAGGAATTTCAGCATTGCTAAACAGCTTAAACTCTGGGTGCTCAAAACATTTTTCATTCTTTTACCTTGTAATAATTGAGAGCTACAGTTAACTTCAACATTGAAAGTCAGCTGGAGGCGACCTGTGATACTGTGCTTGTACAGCATTAAGCTAGTTTGGGGAGATGGTGGATGACCTTCTGTACCTGACAGAGCACTGCTTGTTTTGATTTAATGAAAGAAGTGAGTACAGTGGATCCTCTCATCCCGCTCATCCTCTCCGACCACAAGTAGACCTGTAAAACAGATTTCCTCTGATAGAAGACTGGGAATGTTACAAGTTACCCTAGAGAAGAAACCGGGAGCGGGAGTCCCTATAAGGGAACTTCTGCACTATCCTTGCCTTGCAGAGGGCAGCTGTGTCTGTGGCCAGAGAGCCCAGGGATGTTTCAGAGCAACACGTGCACCGAGAGCCTCCTCTGCAGTGAGGAGCCTTGAGCGAGGCTTAAGCCTTAAGATATTAGACTGTCTGGCTTGTTTAATGTTACGCTCTTGTAAGACTGCTAATTAAAAAAGAACTGGATCTCTGAAGGTGGATGGAAAAAATATTGTTATAAAAGTGAAATGACCAACTAAGCTCTTGTGTTTTTAATACATGTTTTACTACATATATTTAACCATACCTCTTTCTATCTCTCCATATAAAGATTTTTTTATATATATATATACACGCACACATACACACACATACACGCGCGCACACACACACACACACACACTTATTTTTATAGACACAACATATTTAGGTATTTTTCCATTACTTTCTGCTGCTTTTTCTGACCTTTATCTTTTGAGTTAGATCAGAGTTTTATAAAAAAACACTTTCATGGTACATATTTATCTATTCTACAAAACATATTCTGTTCTGTTTGATAGGATTCTCTATATTGATGGTGTGCATCTGAACAGTTTTCATTTGACTCAATAAAAGGGAATGGATTTAAAAGCTCTATTTTGCTTACTTTTCTCCCGTTTGCGCAGCTTCATGACCACCTTGCAGTATTCTGTCTAGTGCATTAAGAGCTGAAGGGCAGAGTTCCCAGCGCTGCCCCAAGGGCCCTGCAGCCCAGTTAAGATGTGCAAGAGAGCGTTTCCAGAGGGCCTTTCCAGAGGGCATTTCTAGAGCACAGCRGAGCCGTTCCACCTTTTTGGTCTGCGTGTTTGTGTGCAGTCACCAGAGAACCTGAGTAACAAATGCAATGTGTTTGATCATCAGTTCCAGTTCCTGCAGCACTATACACTCTTGTCTGCAGCCCTCTCCCCCTCCTGGAAACTGTGAGACTTTTCATTAGTCCGTTTTGGGGGGTCACACTAAGTAATATCCTCAAAGTGACCCACATCCCATGAAATGACAGCAGAGATTAAATGTTGGCGCTCCTTTCTTGGGAGCTATTTAGGAAAACGTAGTTCTCTCTCAGGGAGCTTCCACCATGTTGAGRTTATAAATAAGGCTTTTACCAAAACAAGACTGTTGAAAACAGAGACTGAAAACAAGTGTTTTGAATTTTGTTTTGTTTCATTGTTTCATTTGCAATAGCGTATTTCATTCAGTTAAACTCCTTACATACCCTTCTTTGAAGTGCATGTGGGCCTGCAAATGCAAAATATGATAACGTGGAATGCAAGGGTAGCAATGCATGGCTTGGTGCTTTATCAGAAGATAAATATGTTGAATGCTTATTTCTGGAAAGGAAATGCAATCCCATGCTTGTGTGGTATGGGAGAATGCCTAGAGGTTCGAGAGCATTTTTAAGATGCTCCTCATTTCCTTGAATTGCTTGTGGGGCAGGATTTCAGGCATATAGAGCAGGCACAAGCCTCAGCCTCTTGGTACCTAATGAATTCAATTTTGTTTAAGCTTTTAAGCACGTCCTTTTTTTGTTCTGTGTTTTTACCAGTGCAAAGGGATCCTGCAGCGGGACAGCATGAATGACAATGCTGAAATGCATCACACTGTGCAAATAGTAGACAGACATATCTATCTTAAATGCATAAGCATTCGTCTAGTTAAAAAAATTATATATGTACATATTGCTTATTGAAATTCATAGTCCTGTGTTAACTTCATCAGTCTGCCAGAGTTTGAAATGGCAACGTCAAGTACTTACTAAACAGATCTGCAAGTAATCTTTAAAAAGTGCTTAGAATTAAGGCCAAATCTGAGAAGCTTTGTACTTCTCATGACATTTTTCTCCTTTGGCTTTCGTGTTATGGAAGCTGTATGAAATCGGCAAGGAGTCCTAAGCTCATTCTTTGAAGGTATTATAAGATGCTTTGGAGCGATGCACCTGATGTGATGCACTTGCTTATTTCTGTGTGTTTTTGAGTGTGTCTGGCATTTAATTCCTGAAGAAAAATAAAAGTTGGATTTGGCATCTTCACTGTGCAGTAAATCATCATTACTAGACAGTGTTTAGTCTCTTAATAGTGCTACTCTACTCCTTACTTCTCAGGGGAAAATCAAGGAAAAAAAAGAAAGAAGAAAAGAGCTTCTCAGAGAAGCTCTTCAAATCTCCTGGAATAGAATCAAGAAGGTAGACTTGGGGAGTGTAAGTCAAATAACATGCTCTTGGGGTGTGAGCGATAGGATTTTACCCTTTGTTCTCAACAAATATTAATTCTTAAAATAGGACTTCTGATCAAATAATGCCTTTTGCGTCTCCTCCTTTTCCTCCCCATGTTTCCTCTGACAAATATTAATATTTTCCTAACACACCGTCTGTTTCCTGTGTTGCAGGATTATGACTTGAGCCAGCTCCAGCAGCCTGACACTGTAGAACCGGACGCCATCAAACCTGTTGGAATCAGGAGGCTGGATGAAAGGCCAATCCATGCAGAACCTCAGTATCCAGTCAGATCAGCTGCTCCTCATCCTGGGGACATTGGGGATTTCATTAATGAGGTAAAGGAGGGAAAAGAATTTCCTTGTAAGATGTGCTGAGCTTTTATTTCTTGTTAATTGTACTCTGCATGAATAGCTGTTATGTTTGAACATAATAACTTTTTTTTAAACTTACTTAAACAATTAAAATTGTCTTGCTAGAGAGAAGTAAATATGTTCTTTTAAAGTGCAGACAAATTTAATTAACTCGTTCAAACAGAAAGGGAAGATATATCAATTAACTTCTGTACGTTTGTATTAATTACATTCATAATGTGTTATCAGCCGTAACCACAGTATCTCCAAGTGGGATTATTCCATGGGTTCCCAGTAATAAATAGACTAACAAAATTATAGTTTAGCCTAAATTCACTTACTAATTCAGAGTAATTTAATAATGGAAGAAGTTCATTTTCATTTTCCTCACATACTGCCCTTTGAATCCAGATATTAGTGGAAATTCAGTACCTTCAATAAGACTAGAAGAATTCCATCAAATACGATTAGTGAGTAGGAAGGGCAACTAAATTAAATGTTATGTAAGTGCTTTTAATACAGGTTTTGTCTAAGAGCTTGAGAAGTCTTTGCATTATCTTTCAATTCTTCCAAACTAATAAAGATAAATGTAAGATTCAGATTATACCAGATAACTTACAGTTCTGAAAGAAATACTCCTCTACAACCATTTCTTTCATTATTTCTGTCACGGATGAGTCTRAAATCATTGGTTTTGTGTAATTTAAGATACCACAGTGCAGTGCGTTCATTGTCCTTGCTATTTATAGAAAAGCAATAGTAATAAGAATTTATAACCTAAAAGAAATGAAAGCAATATTCTATAGATTAATAGTAGCAGTTAATTATATTTTCTAATTTTCTATCTTCCTTGACAATTAGAACTGGAAAAGTATTGTAGAACTGGGGTTTTTTTTTGTTTTTTTTTTGAATATTTGTTTTTTCCTGTCTGCCTTAGAGAAAAAATGAGGCTTATACACAAGTCTCTCTTGTGTTAGCAAGCTGCAGAAATTTGATTTTGCTCCTAATGAGGTGTACAGCGATGCAGTTTTAAATAAACTACAGGAAAACGACTAACAGAAAGCATATGTGGCATTCCCATAAGACAATGTATTTTAAGAGCGTGCAGGTTTGTGAAAGAGGTGGATTAGAAAGAAATGCCTTGGCATGCCTTACATTTCTAAATAATACTTCAGGCCATAATGTGCTTCCGGTGAGTAGTGGAGCCACGGGAGAATAGAAGGCTCACGTTGTTGGCCAAGATGACGTGCACATAAAGATTTGCTTGTGCTGTCCTCATCTTCCTCCAGACAGTCGCTGAGTTTTCCATCCCATTCTCACGTAGGTGTTACCAGACACTGCCCACCTGGCCAGCAGTGGGGAAGCGTCGCGTCCCCCTGCAATTGCTCCCCACTGCTTTGATTCCTCTCCTCCTCACAGCAGGAACAGTTACAACATGTTCTCTGCCCGGCTGTCTCTAGGAATGTGYGTGTAGCTCTCCTGGAAAGCCAGAAAGGGGCTACAGTTTGTTCAGCCCCCTGTAACTTATAAATTGCTTGGCAAGCTGTTTGTTCAATGCTATTTCAGTATGTTACATACTTCTGGAGAGTATGAGATTCATGTGTACAGACTGGGCTATAGAAAAAGTAGATGCTGTTTTGATTTAACCCAATGTGTTTATACCACAATACAGTCACGCAGGGAGTCATTTTCTTACTGCTGTCTGTTCTATTAGATTGATACCCTCCTTCATGCCTAGCTTTGCCCTCTACCAAAGGTCCCTCCAGTTGCTGGTACACAACAAAATGATGTAAATAATGCCTCACACTCCAAAATGAGATAAGCCTTGGAAACGTGTGAAATCACTGAAAATATGGCAGTGCTTATGTTCTGCAAGTTAACTCCAAGTTAATTTTGGCTCTGATTGAACAAAACTGTGTGAGGTAGATAAGTCAAAATGCTTGAAACATGGTTCTGGTTCATTTTTTTCTTCTTATAAGGCTTTTTTTTTCTTTAGGGCTCCACAACAACATGTCATTCTACTATGGGGCAGCTCACCTAACCTTCTGTACAGTCAAAAGGGGTCAAGAATTGTTCGTGCTTGCTCTATTGGGCCAAAAGTCCAAAAGTCTGAGCAAATTGGAGATTTTGTTTATCCAAAACAGCTTACCTCTTAGTTTGTGTTTTATGTTAATATTTCCCATGGCAAATGTGATTCTTAATAATCTTACTGGAGTAGTTATTATTGCTTACTGTTACTTAATAAGTTTCCAAGTGACCTGCGTATAAACATTTAGGCTGTGCAGTTTTTCAAACTCATCTCAGCACATTCCACCTATGGCTAATTGTAAGCAATTCTGGAAATAGCATGCCAAATTTGGTATATTCCTCTCAATTTTACTGCTCCAGCAAATGGAAGAAAAAGCTCTGGTAAAACCTTGGCAAAATACCAGATGTTTCTTGCAACAATTCAGATGAAATATGTGTTGAGCTGTGGAAATAATACAGTGAGATAAGAAAGAAAAATGTTGATATTCCCTATTTTGCATCCAGATTCAGCATAGTTGAACAAAGAACTTTCTTTCACTGTAGCCATTACTCTTCATGRTGACACCTTAACGCCTTCCTTAAGGCTCTCTAATCTGCATCCATCTGCAAAATGCACCTGGTCTGAGGAGGGAGACTCCCTTGGAGGTTTTTGGTATCTGAGTAGTAAAATATGTGCATGTAACCCATCAGTTTAAAAAGATCCAACAGTCCTGTTTCTGGAGATCAGTCTGGTCTTTTGGAGTTGGGACTTGTTTCCAGTGATCCTGATCAGTCTGGTCTTTTGAGATGCTGACCCATGTGCAGAAATGAATCTAATCTGTGAAGTGCCCAGTGGCACCTCTCACACGTGGGCAGGATTGTGCAGATGAGTTTCTGAATATCCCCAACTTTAGATTTTTATTTATTTATTGTTTAAAGGTAATATAGGTCATTAATTTCAAATTTTGGAGAGTTTAGCTACCATCTGAAAAAGTATTGGGCTTTTTCCCCTTTTATTAGACAGCTATAGAAACAAACAAAAAAATTGCAGACTAGTGCATCATTTTGTTTCCTTCCCTTTGGCAATATGTTGTTTTTTTGTGGTATTATTTTCTAGTTGTCATCAGCTGTATTAAATCTACCTAACTCAGTGAGGCACACATAAGTTTGAACGTTTTGTACTGTTCTAACGACTTGTCAGTTGAAAAACAAGTTATAAGCATGATAGCACCTTCAGCTATTTTTGTAACATTTATAAAGTTAAGGTAACACATACAGAGCTATGAACTGTTTTGAACCGCTGGAACTAAGAAGGTTCCAGTGGTTCCTTATAATCAAAATATGTTTTTTAGRTATAAGCAAAAGGACCGCAGGGACTTCCTTATTTTGTCTTTTTCAACGACTAGATGAGTCTCTAATTTTAAGGGCTAGGAGGAAAAAATAAAACCTCCTTTTCTTCCAGCCCAGTGTACAAACAAGTCAGTGGAGTTAAGTCGTGTATTATTAGAATCCTCTATAGACATTGTTTTCCATTTCGAGGGTTTTAAAGCGTAACCTGCAGAGTACAGAGCGTAATTAACGCTTAGAATAGTCTGGATTTGCAGGACATTATAAATTATGCCTCTTTGAAGGAGCTTTGTTAAGCCACTTTTCAAGAACTGCCTATGCTGTCCCTAGAAATCTTAAACAAATTACATTGTGGTGGAGAGCTTGTGGCTAAGAATATATTTCTAATCAATAGAGGGCATAACCTGAGGTAAATTAAATTTAAATCACAAACTAAAGATCTCATCTCGTGAGGACATTGAGGACCCTCAGTTCTTTCTTAATAAGTGGTTATTGATACAATGCACCTCTAAGCAGAATAGGGTCCCTCTTTGTCTTCTGTTTTCTCTCGTCAAATGTAGATTGATACAGTGTTTCCTATTTCCCTCTAGGGCTCTGTGATCCTTTCCTCCTCATCAAGAGAGTGTTGGATTTGATTAAGTGGTAGGACTAATGAAAATAAAAGCATTAGATCACTGAGTCTGGAATGTTTCATGTTAGTTCAGGAATTTGTGGCTTTGCTTTCCTGTGTTTTCCCCTTGATTGGAAACAAGTGCAGTGAGAACCCTACTCGTGCCGACAAGTACAGCTTACAGTTAATCATCATTTGCCCATCGAGGCTCTGTGGTCTCTCCCTCACCATGAAAGGAGCGGAGACAAGAGGAAGAGGGAGATAAGAACGAGATTGCCACGCAGCCTGCCCTGGYGCTCAGGGTCACCTTGAGCAAAAGGAATGAATGGAGAGTAAAAGGAGGAATAAATGGCTGGTGGCAGCCGTTTACTGCCCTTGTGGCTGTGCCAGCACAGCCAGTTGTGGTGCCTCCCACCTAAAGGGCTGGGAAGCAGCACCTGGACCAAGGGGAGCCTCTGGACCAAGGGGAGCCTCCAGGCGGGTTCCCTGCCGGAGCTACCGGGGAGCAGCTCCACGTTCAGAGGCAAACAGCAAAGCCAAGCGCTGCACGGCCTGCCTCGGGGATCGGGCTTTGCAGCAGCACTACAAAACTTCTCATTTATCTTGGTTGTATCTTAAACTGTAGCTTATAACATATGGAAGAAAACTCAGCTTTCCTTTGAAGAATTAATGTGGGGATTAGAGGCTAAATTCAGTCATTGTGCTGTGAGCCTGAGAGGYTTTTAACTCATGGGTTAGGTGCAGACGTCAATATGGAGCTGAGTCAGTGCCTCTGTAACCTGGTGCCTTGCCRCTTTCCGAAGGAAATGGGTTATGCAGGAAGCCCTGTGTTTGCAACACTGAGTTTGTCAATGAGAGGCTCTCTTAATAAGCTCAACAAGACAAAACTGGTTTTATTTTCCAATGTGACTGCTACTACCACCAACGTAAAAAAATCCAGCCTCCTCCTTGGGGGGGATGGAAGGAGGCTCCAACCTTCATGCCGTAGGAGGCTGATGACAGAACAGGGTTTCTACAGTGGTACAGGAGAACGTTTTGTTCAGTGGTTTTTGATAAATTAGTGTCCTATGGTTGGCTGGCAGTTTCTAGGCTGGATCTGCTCGAGGCAGCACAGGGAAAGAGCATTTCCTCTCCCAGCCAYCTGCGTAAATGGTGTTTGTGCCCTGGTGCCGGCCGGGGCTCCAGCCTCAGCGCTCTCAGTGCCCATGCCCACATCCCAAAGGGAAAGAGAAGTTGGAAATCCCAAGTAAGGCCTGGGAAGCAGAAGTGGGCAGGAAGCCTTAGGATTGTTTGAGGCTCTGAGGCTGGGCAAGGTAACCCTCCAACACAAGCCCTTGCTTTCTGAGACCCTGAAGTCATTCGTCCTTACACCAGCTGTCAGGTTGCGAAATGCCAAAGGGGAAGATAACAAGTGTCACCGATTATTCTGATCGGATAATTGAGAAATTATGCTCCTGGTGCAGGCTGTTATTAATCTGCTTGATGTTGTTGTGCTACCTGAGGCAATCATTTTAAGTCCAAAATACATTCTTGATTTCAGGCCATTAATTTGATAAATATGCTGAGCCTTCCCTCCACTGACTTGCAAAATTATTTTAGATTCATTCTGCACACTTATAAATGATTTTAGATGGATGACGGAGAAGCTTCGTTCTCTATCATGACATATTCTGTGACTTACAAATTTTGTTATATATGTGTTGGGGGTAAGGGGAATGAATGTCCATTTCAGTTGCATCACCTTCACATTTAACAAAAACATGTAGCACTAGTTAAAATTAACCTAAGAGTAGGTGGTTCAAATTCTTTACTAAGCCTCCAAGAATTTTGGCAGACCTATCCTCCCTGGTCAGCAGCTGCCAGCACACGGCATTCAAAGACAGGTCTTGGAAAAGCATTGCTAATCTCCTGGAAGGAAATACCAGTTAAAAAATCCCAAACCAGTTAAAAAATCCCAAACACAAGAGGCCTTGCCTTACTTGTGGCTTGCCTGCTATGGCTTCAGCCATGTATATTCAGCTTGTAATTCTTCAAATTACAAGCTCTCTGCAGCAGGGGTGGCTGCAGAGCAGGCTTCACATATYCTACAATTAGCTCTCTGGGCTTGGACCAATGTAAGAAAACAGGGAAGAGGTTTTTGTCTTGGAGAGATGCAGTTCTTCCCCAACTTTCTCCTTAATCGTTTTGTTTTTGTTTTCATTTAGGTTACTCAGATGTAGTGAGGAGAAAATTAAAAATGCTAAAAACCTGATACTAGTGTACTGATAAAGCTTCAGTCCTTTGAAACAAAGAATCAAAAACAGTTGTAATCTGTATGGATCTAGCTTTGATGTTGCCTTTTTTGGTGTGTCTGTTTTTTCAAGAGCAGGTGGAATCTTGTGTGTGGCAAAGACAAACCACGTAACGTGGTGTACCTTTTTCTCACGGCAGCCTAGATGGGTTTTATAGGACTCAGTAAATACGACTTCTGGCACGTACAGATGGGCTGCAGTTCAGCAGTGTCAGTGGATATGTTACGGGTCATGCAGAGGACCTTTTCAGCAAATCTACGCAAAAATACCTTTTTTTTCCCCTTCCCCATCTGTCTCTTTAACCAGTTCTGTGATGCCCTGTGATAGCTCCTGTGAGCTACGTAACTCAAACTCTGTATACTTCATTATTAGAAGAGTTTCCARTGCAGTGATGTTGGCTCTAGTTTTTGTTAGAGCTGTGTGTGTTGTTACTTTCGCAGTGTTGAGCAGTCTAATCCTGGAAACATGATTGTTTTAAAAGAGATGTAAATATGCTATTCCTGGAATTACAGAAATRCCAGTCCTGCTGTCTTAGTTGAAACTGAAGGGAATTGCAGGTGAATGAGAGCTTGGTTTGCTCTGGTGCTGACTGATAAATGATTGCCCAGAGATGGACCAGTCACTTTGTGCCTCTCGCTCCAGTACAGAACTTGATCTTCTTTTCTCCCTCTCCTTTCAGGGACTTAAAGCAGCCGACAATGACCCCACAGCCCCGCCATACGACTCCCTGTTAGTCTTCGACTACGAAGGAAGCGGCTCCACTGCGGGATCCTTGAGCTCTCTTAACTCCTCAAGTAGTGGTGGTGAGCAAGACTATGACTACCTAAATGACTGGGGCCCACGCTTCAAGAAACTTGCTGATATGTACGGTGGAGGTGATGACTGAACTTCAAAGCGAACTTTGTTTTTGGACAAGTACAAACATTTCAACTGATATTCCCCAAAAGCATACAGAAGCTAGGCTTTAACTTTGTAGTCTACTAGCACAAGTGCTTGCTGAAGGCTTTGGCATAGGCTGCAAACCAATTTGGGCTCCGTGGAATATCAGTGATCCAATGCTGTTTGGAGAAAAAAAAAATATTGAGCTCAGTTACACTTGAATTTTACAGTACAGAAGCACTGGGATTTTATGTGCCTTTTTGTACCTTTTTCAGATCGGAATTAGTTTTATGTTTAAGGCTTTAATGGTACTGATTTATGAAATGATGCATTAAAGAGACAAAATATGTTGGGGTGGGGAGGAGTAAGGTAAATCACAATATGCTTCAACATGCTTTTGTTACATCACATTGCTTTTATTAAAATAAGGAGATGAAAAATTAAAAAACCCTCATGGAACAGTTTTATTATCTGGGAGAGAAGACCATGAGGTTGAACAATGTACATTACTTCTAGTTTTAGATGTTAGGGGAGGTGTTTTTTTTTTTTTTTCACTAAAATTCTAAAACTTATGCAGCTGGTTGCAAATAAAGGGAGTTTTCATATCACCAGTTTGTAGCAGAATTGATTTTTTTTCATATGCTAGAATGTTAGACACATTTTGGTCTTAATCCATGTACACTTTTTTCTTTTTTTTATTTTTTTTTAATTTCTAGTACTTTTTTCCCACTTCACTGTAAAAATGGTATGTGTACATAATGTTTTATTGGCATAGTCTGTGGAGAAGTGCATAAACTTCAGAACACGTGTATGTATTATTTGGACTATGGATTCAGGTTTTTGCATGTTTATATCTTTCGTTATGGATAAAGTATTTACAAAACAGGTTGCAAACAAGTGACATTGATTCAATTGTTGAGCTGTAGTTAGAGTACTCAATATTTTTTTTTATTTTTATTTTGGTTTTTTTTTTTTCTTTTTTGGTTTGGGGAGGGAAAAAAGTTCTTAGCACAAAAGTTTTACATAATTTGTACCAAAAAAAAGAAGGGGGGGAGGGTAGGGGGGCGCTGGCCTAATACTGGTGGCACGAGTAAATATACAGTCTGTTTTGGGGGTGGGCAGGGAAGGGGGAAGGAGCTTTCAAACCGGAGAGACTTCCGAGAACAGCTTTGCCTCTGTATTGTGTACCAGAATATAAATGATACACCTCTGACCCCAACGTTCTGAATAAAATGCTAATTTTGGATCTGGTGCTTGGTTTGGCTTTTTTTCTTTTTCTACCTGAGCAGTCCTGACTGTGACTACACTATATAAAGAGGGAAAAGTACCCAAAGTGCATTTGAATGCGGTGGGGAGTATCGGCACTCTTTATTTATTTATTTATTTATTTTTATTTTAGCATTCAGTAGAGCTGAGCTCTACTACAGTAGAGCTAGAGCTGCACAGAGCAGAGAACTTGCCACAAATGTGTAAGCCAAGTTCCCAGGTGAAAGCAGAGGGATGTTTAATGTTGCTGGGAATTCAAAACTTCCAGTTCCATGGAGGTGACTGGCTCTTTGGCTTCATGGATGTTATCCATATAACAAAGCTTGCATCGTTTTGGGCTGGTTTCTGTATTTACAGTTTAATGATAATGTGGTTATGGTGCTGGTCATACAAATAAAATGCAGATCCTGKCAGGTGTCTCCTACCTGAACTTTCTTATGCTGAACTTTAAGAGGACTATGTGAATGCCAGATCTGCCCCTAAAGGTGTGAGTTACAATTACAGAACTTTCTAACAAAGTCCTGTTATGAACAATTAATCCTCCCTGGATGCATTTACCTGTTACCCTGATTTACTTGCAGACAAAGCAAATGTAAGTACAGCAGTTCTGCTGTCTTTTCATTGACTTGCAGCAGTCTGCCTGGATTTAATGTCTGCATTTACACTCATTAAGGGCCTAATTGTGAACAGCGGAAGCTCTAACTCAGCAGAAACGGCATTCAACCAGGCTGTCAGGGAACTGAGGTGGTGGGAGGGAGCCCAGACCCTCAGCTGCTCTCCAGCTGCTGAGGGGCAGGAGGCACCAACTGCAGGGCTGCAACATTTTAATAATACTAATTCTGTTATTATTGCTATTTGGACTCAGCCTTTGGGAAATACTGAGTGAAGTTAATTCTATTGGTGGCAAATGCTTAGAGATAAGGAAAGAGAAGTGTTTGTGAAAAGCTTCCAGTTATTATTATAGCACGTTTTTTGTTAAAATGGAATAGATGTCATTTTGTATGAACACACAGCTCTTTTTTGACAGCTTTAGAAGTAATTCTCATGAATTTTGAGTATTAATATACTCATTTATCCTTGTCTTGGCCAGGCAATCTTACAGCTCTATCTGCAGCTACTTTGCAATTCTAGCAATAGTTATCAAACCTAGCATTATGCCTACTGAACAGAAGAAAAGGTAAATCATTTAGGGGCATCGCAATGATTTTATAAGAAAAAATATGTCGAACTGACCCTGTTTCATCAAGTTGCAAGTCTGTTTCCATTCTGGAAATGTGGAACCAGATTTTGGTCCTGTGATGTATGCTTAAAACTCTTAGAGAGAAGAATGCACTGAAAGGAGGAAGATGCCTTTTCCATGGGAAATCCTGGCAACCTATTTTGGAAATAGGATTTCCAAACTGTATCCAAAGGACGTTACTGACACAAAATAAGGCCTTAGGAACTTTCCTATCTCCGCTTTTTCTCACTTCAGATTTCCTCTTGGTAATAGTTCCTCATAGTCTAGATCCCTGTGAGCTTCAAGGCTGGAAATGTGAGAAGGATGAGCATGTTTTTGGGGGGTAAATGGATCATCAGCACTATACATGTTGCTGGATCTTCCTTCCACCGTTTATTCTGAGGCTTCCAAGTTTTGCTGAAAGGTCCTGTTGATACTGTGCTCCCTCCAAGCCCCTGCCTCTGCACTAAGAATTGAGTACTCATCTGCTGATGTTACTGGTGATAATGCAGTCCCTGGCTGTGCTGGGGCTGTGCTGTAGACCTCACTGTGGCCTTTCTGAATACAAAATCCCATGTAAATCACTTCAACCGGGCAGGCTACTTGACTCTACTTTATAAAATGTTTATAAATTAATATAAGTTTTAAAGAGAGGACATTTAATTTCACATCTGAATTGCCTTGCTTGCACACAGAAGTTTCTTTTCAGTTGCAAGCAAAAACGTTTTAGACAGCTGCTGCTTTTAGTGCTGAAGTAGCAAAGTGGCTCTGATCTCGAGAGCTGCAGGAAACCTGTTTCTTTGGAGCTCTGTTTGTTCATATGGAACCGTTCTGGAAACCTACCAAATCCTTGACTTGAAAATACTTTTGAATCTGCTGTCCCCTGATGCTATTATGGTGATAGGCAGCTTACTCCCACCTTCCGAAGGAGCTTCCTTCCAGCAGGAGTAGCACGGTCATGGCAGACCAATCTTTCTGGATTGGGAATGCGATAGCAAAGTGAAGTACCTAACTGCTTGTGCTGGAGTACATTTCACCACCAGACCTTCCCAGTTTCTCCCCTTAGCTCCCCTGGGGGCCAAGTTTTAAATCAGACTCTGGGTATTCTTCCATTTCCAGACCAGAAAATTCAAGGTCTTAGCTTTGTTTCGTTTCTGCTGCCTTGTTCAGGACCTGAGGATGTGTTCTCCACACAGCAGTAGTCAGGAAGGCTGGCCTTCCTTTCTAAAATTTMGTTACCCAAACAGTATTTTCCATCTCCCCTCCAGCTGCTGTGGATTTCTAGACATCGAAAAAATGCCGCAACTGCTAGCAATGCAGTAGCTGCTCATAATCTGACTTAATATTTGTATACCGTCCTGATTTCTCAGTCACATAAGAGCATATACTGATGTTGCAGTAACAACATGAAGATGCAAGCCCAGTAAAGCTCTCTGGAAAGAGCAATCAGCATAAGGTCGTGGCCATTTGCACTCTGACTTGCCATGTAGCATCAGCTGCAGAGAATGCACCTTATATAATGCATGTATACACCTATAATGAACTGCTGGTGCCAAGAAGATCCAGGCACATCTGTTTCCTCCTAAGCAGACATTTTCACCTCTAATCTGAAGCTATTTGGACAACATCATCATTGCTTTTGCTTATGTCTTTTTTCCTTGCCCTCTACCCCGACTAAAGACCGTTTTATAAAGCTATTTAGGATCATTTGTTACCTGTTAACAAAGGAAATTTTCTCAAATGAAATTCTGATAGATGAATTACTATTGTCATTTGCTGCTATTCTCCACTCCCAGTATATAAAACCCCTTGGGTTTGCATTAACAAATTCAGCTTTCCTAATTCTCATGCTTCTTGTCAAGCCTGAGAGAATATTTCTGGTTTCTCCTTCCTGCTTTTCAGTCTATATAAACAATTCTTTTATTAATGTTTCCAGAACTTGATCAGTCTCCTGCAAATAAACTAAATGGTCAACCTCTTCTTCCTGGAAGCAGCTGAATTATTTTCCTTCTAGTGGTGAACATTGTTGTTGACTTTGTGTTTTCCTCTATGTCACCCAGAAAAAGCAAGGTTTCTCACCGTTCAAAACTGCTTATGTTTACTGTTCTTATTTGTTAGAATATTTTTCACCTCTTCTGAGGTTGTTTCTTCCATACACTAATGCATTTGTAAACCCCATGGTGGCTTGCATTTATGTAATGTAGTGAAACCACCTTCAAGTCGTTCCCCGACTCCCACAGAGCCTAAATACTAGTTCTGAAAGCAACATATTTCGCTCTGGGTATGAATAATGAATAGTAGCATTGTGCAAATTATTTTTATACTCCTGTCTCTGAAGATAAAATTTGTTGATGTGGTATGAGTATATATAGATAGACAGATCTGTAGACCCACCCATTCTGTGTTGGATAGAAGTTTGATTATTACATTACATTTGTTATCTGCAGTACTGCAGGGCAAGCTTATAAAAACCCAGCTGTCTCTGTGCTCCATAAATCAAAAGTAATGGCCAGATAATCAAAATTATGTTCCCATTCTAGAACATTCATTACTGGTGGCATTGTATAAAGCAGATATAATAACAAGTAGAGTTTTTGTGCTATGGGATGATTAGAGGGAATTACACTAAAAACACAGAATCATTATTGGTATGTTTTGACTGGGAGCTAATAACGAGCACTTTGCTCAGCAAGGTTATTTTGAGATAAACTGCAGAAATAAACAAAAATGATTCTTTTTTAACCTAAAGTAGTCAGGAAATGACATCCAAACTATCTTTTGGAGAATTGTTTTTGTTGTTGTTCTCATTTGGACAGAACTAAGACAACCAAGAAAAATGACCAACATGTCAAACGCTTACTTAAAAACTTGCTCATGGAGTCAGAGACAGATTCAAAGTCCTGCTCTGCTGTCATGCCTAGGAGGATTCATATACAAAGTTCCTTAAGTCAATGGAGATGCTACTTTGAATATCATGATCACCTTGAAAGCAGTGTTGAATTTAAAAAAATAAAATCTGTAATATTCTTACAGCAGTGTATTATACTATATGAAACTGAACAGCCTTAAATAAATGTAATGATTTTAAGTCGTTCTGAATTGGCAGTTGCCTTCTTTTTTGATGAGTAATCTTTAATGGCTTTAAGTTTATTAAAACCCATTATATTCACTAAGGCACTAGTGAACCTAACTCTGGTGAACACTATAGTGCCAAGTGACCCTGTATGGATAAGCTTTTATGGAAACCTATTTCTGGACTGAATATTTGGAAGCAAATTTTGATGAGAATTTTGTTGGTGCTTGATGGTCTCAGCCAAGACTAGATACTTAGACCTTTGGTAACTGTCATGGGAATACCAGAGTGGCTGCCATTCGAGAGCAGAGAGCAAAGATCACTGCATGAAATTACGTTTCAATACTGCTTCAATTATACAAACAGCAGTGAGCAAATAAATGTATGGTAAAACAGTGCTAGGTCAC